CGCTTGGGGAGGCGGGCTGCAGCAGCGCACCCGTGTCGGCGGGGGTGGAGCCAGGCGGCGTCCAGTGGGGAGGCGGGCAGGGTGAGCAGGAGGTGCGGGTCTCTGCTGAAGGCTTGCTAGCCGCGTGGGAGGCAAGCAGGGGATTCAAGGCATGACAAACACGCGCGTGGGCTGCCGGCAGGAGTGATTGCTGCTGAACATATGCATTTTTTACATGCCGGCTGCGCTGTGGGAGGACGTTTGACCAGTCTGGTTGGGGCCAGGCCAATCAACTTGAGAACAAACCCCTAGGCAGCGTTGACTGAGAGAGGGTGCTTCTTGGTAGGGGTGCACGGGCCTTGACCTAACCTATGGTGGTGGGTTGACCGTACTGATTATGGTACATATGGAGGTCTAAGCCATCGCCACGGCCAGGCACATCGTTGATGTGTGTAAGTCCGGCCCGACGAGTCATCCATCACAGCGGCAGGTGTTGACGGCAGATTTGTCGTGCCGAGCGCACAGATTTCAAGCCACCTGCCTGGTGTGCCTCCCATGCAAAGCACCATGGGGCCCACGGCACGTTTTCGCAACAGCAGAGAGGGTTGCACTTGCAAGGGCTCCCGACAAAGGTGCCTTGTGAGCGCTACCTCCGAGGCAGCAAGAGTCTCTCACAAGCCTGGCGGCTTACTCGTGTGGTGTGGGGTGCCGCGGTCTCGGGAGCGCCGGCAGTCGGAGAGGTGCGAGGCGTGGTGGCCTTACGACGTGGACCATGCATTGATGCGCTGGTGGCGACGCGTGCTGTGTGTTGTACCTCTCTAGGGGGCTCGCGTGGTTGGCACTCAGGGGAACCGGGAGTTGCGCACTGCGTGCAACCGATTGAAGGCGCTCTCGACCACACAGTTGTCACAGTGAGTCGCGCAAGCTGTGGCTGCTGCCGCAATCTGTGGCAGAAGGCGGCGACTCGACAGTGCGTGCATGGGGCGAGCGCGGTTGCCACTAGGGTGGGCGCCCAACCCCAGGCCGTTCCTGATTTCCTGGGCACGCCTTGCAGCCGCTGGACTTGGCCAAAGCCCCCACACATTAATCAGAACATCCTTGCAACTCCAGTGTCATGACACAAACCTAGCACACACTGCTGCAGCTGTAAGCGGCTGTTCATGAGTCCACCAACCTGACCGTGTCAGGCCGGCCTGCACAGGCGCCTGTGCATTTGAATGCGTCCACGGCCGGTCTTGACGCTGGTGCAAATCTCTGCCAACAAATTCAACAGTTTCAAACTGCTTTGAACAGCATCAAACTGCTCAGCAGCACAAAGCGGAATGTACACAGCATCCGTGCCACGTGATCAAGCCCACGTGTCCTCCTCCCTGCTTTTCACGGGTGCGCGGACCTGGAGCACGCGCCCCAGGCATGACCTGAATCCAGTACTGTGGTTGTGGGTCATCTAGGTCCAGGGTGTGATGAATTTCCCAAACCTGAACCCTTGACCCTGGAGCCAGCCATCCTGCAACCCGATTGGTCCGGAAGAAGTCGCACTTGCATTTTGTTGCTATAACCGCCTTCCCCCATCCCCAACCGTGCGACCTGGACCTGCAACATACATGCCCCATCTGCACGACCTCGCTTTGTAAAACTGCACGGTGCAACGCACACATCCATGGCGCCCCGCTGCCTTGCCGTGCACACAGTACACGCCCGCTAAACCCTGCCCCCTCGCCCGCAGCACCCCCACCAACCAGCACACCGTCAACGCATCATCAACCTGGCCTGGTTCAACCTTCTGCGTCTGTCTGCATCCAGTTCCCCCATTCCAAAATGATATCACCGCACACATAAGCATTGCCGCAGATCTTCCAGGCACGCGAGACACGCGGGCACAAAGATGCCGACTGGTGCCGACGCGATGCAGCCGCCCGCCGACACAGGGTGACAATCACCGCAATAGCGCGCCCCGCTTCGGCGCACATACACAGTGCTTCTTGTCACCCAACATCCCCCACGCAGCGCGGCCCAGCGGCATACGCAATCAAAAATACAGATTACATCATCTGATCAAGCCAGAGTTGAAGCCACTGGGCAGTGATCAAAACAACTGGATGCTGTGAAACGGATATGAAGCTTGGCTTGTGTTGCTCAAAGGGTTGAGCTGCATTACCTCAGCTGCAGATGATAATGGTGGCACAAGGCCCAACGGGCTTTCCTTGTGGTGGAGTGTAGTTGTGACTGAATCTAGGACGAGACCTGTTGTGCCACATCTGTTCAAGGGACAGATTAGCCCACCTGCTTGAAACAGCATTTTGGCGCTTAATTTGATGTGCAAAACAGCTGGCAGGTGCCAGGCTGTACCCTGCTGGGTTGTGGACTGTCAAATGCCACGCAAAGAACCATTGTGCGTATGCACGACTCAAACATGGGATGCACGCACACACAAAAGCAGCTCGGCCCTTGGCTAGGCGGTCCTCGCAGGGCAGCCAGACATGATGCACCGCAAAGCTACAGGAAGCTAACAGAATTAGTGAATTGTCGGTATGAAGGCCCATCAAACACCTCAGATGCAGGCTAATATGCCCCGCACGCTGCTGGATCCTGTTATTGTGCCAGGTCGGGCCACCCAGGGTTCTGGTAGTCGTGCACTGACCGATGCGATAACCCGCAGCTAACCCGGCTTTGCCCGCGTAATGAGCGCTCAGAAGTCAGCTGGGATCAGGGCCTGAATAATCCTGGGTCATGCAAATCAAAGCCCCGCCCTCCTGCCTCAGATCAGCGCCAACGCGTCGTATGCGGGGCCCGTGTCGTCCTCGCCGCCGGCGTCAGCCGCCGCCGCCACAGCCTTGGCAGTCGACCCGACAAGCTTGCCCCCCTCGGCTGGCCCGGGGTCTCCACGGCCGCTGCTGTCCTGTAACTCTCTCATGCCCTCCGCGCCGCCCAGGGCGCCGTGCGCGCCCGCTGGGTGCAGCTGGGAGGCGTCGTCGTGGGGGTGTGCCGCCGCGGGGCCGGCGCCGGGGGCCGCCAGGGCGGCTGCGCGCGCCGCGTGCGCCTGTATGCGGTGTTTGTGCTCCTCCAAATGGTCCAGCATGCGGCGGTGCCACACCTGAGATGCGCGGTGGTTGGTAAGAGTTTGGTTTTGGTTTGGTTGGTAAGAGTTCTGTTGTCAGTGCTGCATAGTGCCGGGCAACCTCAAGGCAAGTGCGAGGTTGTGCTGCAGGTACAAAATCGCTAGGGGACACACGAAGCAAGCGCCGTACGGCACAGCCGCGCACGGCCGGACGCATGTCTTTCGGCTTGCGCGTCTGGCACCCCTGCCTGCCCCAAAAGACGACCCTAAGGACCAAATGAACCCCAAAACCTCATCACGCATAACCCAGCGCGGCAGCACAACACTACCCTCGTGCTCGAGAGCTGATTTGGTCCGCCACGCGGGCAAAGCGGCGCCCACCTCGAAGCGGAAGAGGAAGTCCCCTGTGGCGCGGTCCCTCAGGCTGATGCCCACAGGCTGCGCGTCCATCAGGCGCACCTGCCGCCCAGAAGGCGCGGGTTGAGTGAATGGGCGCAACCTCGGAGGCCGCAACCTCAGAGGGCATGGTTGAGGGCCCCGCAGGTGGCTGGCAGCCCCCTAAACAGCCACCAGAGCAAGGAGAAATCACAGGCACGGCAAAAGCTCAAAAATGCAGAAACAGGGGGGAGGGACGTTCAAGGTTTGAGGAAGCCACAACGGGGCGTAGCCTCACCCTGTCCCTGCCCTGCAGTGCCCCCAGCCTCTGCGGCAGCAGTTGGAAGCGGCGCGAGCCCTGGCCCCCGCCCCCCTCTCCCTTGTCCCGTGAGCGCGGCGCACCATGTCGAGGTGGAAGGGAGGGACAGCCATCCGGAACGTCTCGTAGTTGAAGCTGTGTGTGGCATCGGGTGACAACGGGTGACGTCGGGGTTGCGGGGGCTGACAAAAAGCAAGCGTCAGGCGTGTGCGCAACCGAGCGAGGAGGCCGTTGGTGTATAGCAGCACGCAGGCCCCAGGGGACACGAATGGCGGGGACGCGCCCCGCCGGCGTCCCCTCCCTCATGCAATTCATCGCCAACTCACAGCTTGAGACAACCAAAACACCATCAAAAAGTGCTCAGGCCCCTCGTCACCTGTGGTCATAATAGTACATGGTGATCACGTGATCTGGGGACCACACCCGCCCCGCGCGGTGCGCGGCGTGCCGAAAGTACGCGCGCCGCCGCGGCGTCGACATCGGCTCGGCTGCGGGTTTTGGTGTAGGGGCCGCCGGCGCGTGTCAGGGTGAAGCCGGTCCAAGCACACGGCCGCCGGCGGCAGCCTGCAGCCCCAGCTGCCCCGCCGCTGTCCACGCACACGGACAAAATCTTATACAGTATGCTGATTGTGTCGACGCCGAGCTGTCGCACCCTTTTGCGCCCACTTTGCAGGAAGCCCAATCGGCAGTTGAGCAGGCCGGACCGCCGTCGCCGGCCCCAAACCCCTGAACTCCGTGGAAGAAGCCCTCGGGCGCACCAAGAACCCACCCCTCACACCCCCTCCCCTCACGGCGCGTGCGCCCGCACGTTGCGGCACCCACCCCCGCCGCCGTCCCCCAGCAGCAGGCGCGCGTCCTCCTCGGCCTCAAACAGCCCCGGCTCCTGCCCCGGCACTGAGATGTTGAGCAGCTGCGCGCCGGAGCAGAGGGGCCCCGCGACGTGGGGGGTGTCGCCGCCGACCCGCAGCTCGAGGCCGCCGCCCAACCTGGGGGTTCACGTCACAAGATTCACAGCCACGGGCGTGTGTTTGTGTGTGTGAGTGGATGAGAGAGAGAGAGAGAGTGTGTGTGTGTGTGTGTGTGTGTGTATGTGTATGTGTGTGTGTGAGAGTGCTGCTGTGCATCCGTGCGGCGGGGTACGGATGAGAAGGACCGAAATCGCACCTGCCTGTGTGCGTGTGCACGTGTGCGTGCGTACGCTGCGCAAGTCCACACTCAAGACCGTGCCAGACCGTGCGACCTGGGGCAAGCACAACAGCAGCCTTCATGCCTGCCTGCAGCCAACACGAGCTCGAAAAACTCCAACCTGGAACCATGCAGGCAACGGCCACTCATTTGTGCCGCCCGCATCCATGCCGCACCTTCGGCCGAGCCACTCGAGCGCTGGTGTGAGGATGAACTGGGCCGGCAGCTGCAGGGGGCGCGTGTACCAGGCGCCACACTGCAGGTCGTCCAGAGGGATGGGGCGCTTCACCCGGCCCTGAGGTGTTTAGGGCAAGGTAGTGCACAAGAGTTTGCCCCGTGCAGTGGCATTGGGTGTTTTGCGGTCCCCAGGCCGGGGGTTGACCGACTGACTGGCCATGACGTCAGCACTGAGGTTGGCTGACCTCCAGGCAACGCTTGGAGGCCGCCCGCACGGCCTGCAGCCCGCCTCGGCACGCATGCGAGCGGCCGCCAAGGCAGCGCCGCTGTGGCGCCTGCTGCTTTCAGGGGCGAGGCATGTTGGCGCGGTGCGGGGCGGCCCAGCACACCTGCAGGGCGACCCAAATCTGTCGCTTCTTGCCGCGCAGCAGCTCCTCGGCTGCGGCAGCCTGCAGCCCCGGCGGCCGCTTGAAAAGCACCTGAACTCTTCCCTTGAAGTGCTCTGTCTCAAACTCAACGGGGGCGCTCATACCGCCGCTCAGGGGCACAGCCCCGGACGCCGCATCGCATTTTGCGCCAAGCACGGTGCGTGGGTGCACGTCTATTGGCGAGCGCAGCAGAAGCGGGCTGTCGGAGGGGAACGCGCTGATTTCAGGTGGTTCAGCGTCAGCTCCAGTTCGTGGCGTCATTGATGCGGCAAGAGCAGCGTGTTTGTGGATGTCGAGACCTCCGCTAGACCGTGGGCGCCACCAGGCCGCCTCTTCTGAGCAGGAAACGCGTGTATGTTTCAAGTGATGATACTCTACGATATCCCTGACATGCCAAGACTAAGAGCGGACAGCAGTGGCAGGAAACTGGAGCTCGCGGGCGCTGGTGCTGCGGTGTCTGCTACAAATGGATGCAATATGCCTTGCGACTTCCAAGTACTGTCACGCTGTGCACTGGGCCTGCTGTTTCTAGGCTTTCAGCACTGGCTGCAACTGTGCAGGTGCAGGGCGGGTGACACAAGTGTGTCCATTCAATTTGACCCGCTGCACTCGCGACACCTGATGCGGCAGGCTGCTGAGCGACAACGTTATCACCAAAACTTCGATGCGGAACATCATGAGGGGCGCGTTTCCTTCCCATCCTTGCGCCGTGCGCACCACCCAGAAACTGCCCCATGGTCGCGCTGCTCAACTGGCCTGCGTCAAGCCGGTTACACTCAGCTGATGCTGCACTTCTCCTCAACCTTATCCATGACCGGCCGCAACCGCGCTGCCGCCCCGTCCAGCGTAGCCGGCCGCTGGTGCCCCGGCCCGCGCCCGGGCCGCCGCTGCTGCTGCTGCTGCTGCTGCTGCTGTTGCTGGTGAGCTGCGACCGCCCCCGCCCGCGTCGGCTGTGCCCCCGTGCGCTGCGCCGGCTGGGGCGGGCCCTCCTGCGCCTCCGCGCGCCGCTGCCTCTCCGCCCGCTCCCGCTCCGCGGCCTCCTCCTCCTGCATCTGCAGCTGCAGCGCCAGTGCAAAATCGGCGTCCTCCATCCCATGCCCCCCGC